CTTCTGGGCGGTATGGGCACCCACAACAATGTGAAGGATAGCTTTTGTCAAGGAACCAATGATCCAAGTGAGCACAAGTTGTTCATTACGTTCCCAAGTGAGGTGTGCGAGATTGGGGTCGGTGTTATTGATGGTTGCGGCTAGAGTTGCACGGGTACCATCAATATGATGCATCAATCCATGGCAACGAAGAATAGGATGAAGTTGCATTTTCCGGATAATGAAGTTTGTTGGGATGAGTTTTCGTAGGGAATGTGTGTTTAGGTTAAGAAGGGAATGGTGAGTTTCGGGGTTGGATGGGCTTGCCATAGTGAGGTTGGCAGCTTGGAGAGTTCCGGATTCGAAAGGTCAATGACATGGTGGAAAGTGGAGCTGAAAGAAGTGGGAGTAGGTTATGTTTGGAGGGAACTCAATTTTTAAACCTTTGAGTATGGATGAAAACCGATCCGAAACTAAACTCGATAGAGATGCGAGTGCTTACTATAGTACGGGCCGGCTCGTAGAAAATATTATAGCCGATGCACGGATGTGGGGGAGCAGGTCGGCCGGAGGCGTGTGAGCGGCTAGCTTACGGGCTAGCACGCAAGTTATTGTAGGCTGGTACGTAGAGACGTGCGAGCTAGCACGTAGATTACTCAGACTGGTACACGGATGTGGCGGTTGATTGGTGCGTGAGGCGGGTGGGTAAAAAAAAAAATTTAGACGGTTAAGTCACGTAGGCTTTGATACTAGGGGTGAGCAAACGGTTAAACGGTTCGGTTTTGTACGATTTGGTTTGGTTTTCGGTTAACCGAATCAAGGAAAATAAAAACTAAAACCGAACCAAAATAAATTCGATAAATTCGGTTTGTAACCAAATTATTTCGGTTTGGTTTCAAAATATTTCGGTTTTAACCGAAATGTTTTACTGAAAAAAAATTCTAGACCATTGTTTCATTATCCGTCCTAAGCCACCATCATTTTCACCATTTACTATATATATATATAAAAAAAAGACAATAAGAAAACAAAGCCCTTACATAGGAAATATCTTTTGCAGCTACCTAATCACGAGTTGACACGTCGAATGTCCTAAATGAGAGAAGAAAAAAATTTTAGTTGTCTTCCTTCTTTTGCTTATTCCGAACTCATCAAGCACCGACAACATCCTAATTCTTGATTTGACCTCTATGATCTCCTTGCTTATCTTGCTAAAAAGCCATTGGGAATGAACCGCAGAAACAAAATTTTAGACCGAATTAGTCATCGTTGAAGATTATAATTTTCCAACATCAATCACTATCATAACAAGATATATAAAACAAGGTAAAGGTTATCAATATGTATAATATCCCTAATAATTTTACAATCATCATTCCCACTAAAAAATGTAGTCCAAAAGATTTTCATTAGCAATTTTGTGTAGTAGAAAAGAAATTAAAACGGCTTTCTTTCGGTTTGTAAAATTCAAGCTCACAGAGACCTAAAACCATCTTGCAATAGTAAGTTAATTTCATTTGATTGTCTTGCAAAGAAACAACTAAACTTGTAAAAGACAATTGATTGCAGTTAGTCATCAACTTTATTTAATTTTTTCAATTGATAGTTGACCAAATTAAGAATCTTAGAATTCATGAATGCCTCCTCCGACCTGATGAAGTGATGATGAAGGAGAATCGGAGAAGATGGAGCGAAGGATAGGGAGCTAGGGAGGCGCCGCTAAAAATTGATTTTGATTTAGTGAAGTTAGCCAATTAGGGTTAAAAAAAAAAAAAATTTTTTTTTTTTTGCTTTTAATTTTTTCGGTTTTCGGTGAAAACCGATTTTTTTTCAAAAACCGAACCGAACCGAAATAATTTTGATTTTTCGATTCGGTTTTTAATTTTATAAATTTAAGTTTAAAACCGAACCAAAATACATAATTCGGTTCGGTTTGATTCGATTTTCGGTTAACTGAACCATTTGCTCACCCCTATTTGATACCATGAAATAGCTATTGAATCTCTATATTCACTTATGTATAAAACGGTATTACAAGTATATATATACATACATGCTGCCATGAGCTGTAGATAAACTCTACAGTGTTGTAGTGTTCTAAGGAAACTAACATTGCAAAGATATCAATACGCTCTATAGCAAAGAGTTCTAATTATAAAAGAATGCTCACTATAATTACTATAGGACTCTAGGTAGTTATCCTTATCATCTTAGTGGGAATATTGTTACATGGTTGACAATATAATTAGCTGATGGGCTGCAAGTTGCTAGATAGAAATAAATATTCGCTCTAAATCAGTTTGAACATAGGGAGGTCAAGAGATCGGGAAGCATTTTTATAGTTTTCCATTCCCTCATTCCATCGCTATGTTGGTATATGTTCTTTGATCTCTGTGAAACATTCACTTTGCAGCCCACTGAGCCATGCCAAACAAGATCAATTTAAATAAGTTATTTTATCATTTTCTTTATTTCAAAAATAAAAAAAAATTAAGAGAATTACAAAACCCCGGTCATCAAATTAGATCATGCAGCTAGCAATCAAATTAAGAACATTAATAATTAATTCTTCTCACTTCAAATGATGCATCATCACGTCAACTGAGTGATATGATTTCCAAGGCTGGCTGAAAAAGTTTCAAGGCACACTTACTACAAGCGGGATGGACATGAATTAACTGGGAAGTAAGAAACTACAATGGGAGCTTCTGATGATTTTGATTTGCTTTTCGACATCTCCGATTTCGGCTTTTTTCCATCGAAGACTTTTTCCTTTTCCTTGGAAACTCGAGCGGAAGAAGAGGGATCAAAGCAGCAAAAAATCGATGAGAGAAGAGCCATTGTTGCTTTCTTGATGCTTCGCGTTTGACGAAGAGAGGTAGTGTTAATTTTTTCTTAGCTTAACAGTTACGAATACTAAGAGGGCAAGAAGAGGGAAACAAGCTAGACAAGGCACTGATATTGGAAGCTCAGTTGATGAAATTTAATGAGAAAGTCTTGGCTATTTATAACAAGCGAAAAAATAGGGTGTATCAAAGAAGTTTTTGCTTTGCTTGGAAAGAAAGGAAACCCAATTTTCAAAAGTTGTGGCTGCTTTGACCGTAGGGACTGAATTAATATTATATGGTTCGTTTCCTTGTCAAGTGTTGGTGGGTCAAATAAGTATTCTCGCCTTTTTTTTTTTTTTATCAAATATTTTCATCTCACATTAACGAGATAACCAATGATACCCAAAACAAAAGTGATAAGATTTAATATTTTTTAACAAATATGTTTCTAAAAGTTTTTACACATTGGTAAAAAATTTACCAACTGAAGATAAGTTATTTACTATTAGGCTAATAATTTTATAATTAAATATCTTCTGTCTTTTGTGTATTAATGATTAACACCGAATCTTATAAATAAGATATTTTTATATTTTGAACTTGCTAAGCAAGGAAGATCTTGAAATATTATCTACTAATATATGTGTCCGAGTCTTTGTTGCATATATGTTATAATAGCACGTGGAACAGACCAGACATATTTTGATATTGGTGTGGTTTCTGTCGGCTAGATGCATCATTTTTGTTTTTTCTGTTTTTTTTTTTAATTATGGGAATTAATTATAAGTGGATAATGGAAGGAATAAGGAGATCCACAAATGTAGATAGAAGTGGGAGAGGAGTAAATGGTAATCACATATCAAGGGCTTGAATTTAGTAAACAGAAAGATCACATCCTACTTGTTAGAAATTAGAAATTAGTCCATCCAAATCATCGACCTGGGCTAAAATATTGACGTCCCACACGAATTTCCAAAAAATTTTTAAATCCTTAGAGAAAATATTATTAATTTTTGGCCGCGTTAAGTGACGGGATGCAATCGTGCAAGTAATTAGATTGAAAGTAGTCTTTGCTCTAAATATATACTTCTGTTTTTGGGAAATATCCAATTTGCAGTCCATTCATGAGCAATCTCAAACAAAATCAATGAACATGAATTATTTGATAATTTCAATATTTTCATATATGTTGTTGCAGCTTTGACCATAGGGACTTAATATTATGTCGTTTCCTTATCAGGTGTTGGGTCAGGTAAACGCCCTCTTTGTCGTATAAATTGTAAATTAGTTCCTTTTGTTTATAGAAATGAATTAATTGGTCTTTAAAAAAACTAACCATTTAATTTAGCATTGGAAGATATTTTTAAATTAATTTATGTTTTAATTGATTAAGTATTTTTTTTTCTAAGTGATTTTAAGAATGTATTTTTAAATCGATTTGGTAAGTACGAAATACGATGGTAGGCAGCAAGAACGCTCAAGTTCAAGTTTACTGGGTGCTCGAAGTTCACTTTTCTGTTGAAATGCTAAGGTCATAGGTGCCATAATATTGCGTACTCATTCTTAAAATTCTGTGCTCTAGTTGGCTGATTGAGGTGTTTCATACACAAAATTGTAGTTTTATTATCATTTTTTTTTATTTTGGGTTAAGGCTAAAATACAACCAAACTATCTCAAAACTATAAAATCTATGTGCCGTCTTTCGTCCTTCAACTAATATTTCAAAATAAAAGTTAGCAGCTTCAGTAAAATACAGTCTCCCTTCATAACTCAATTCCAAATTTAGCTAGGCCATCAGCACAAAATTGTATCATACTTCGTTATCTGAATTTGAGGTATTGGTTAACTTCAATCTCAACCATGAGCTGTTTTTCGTTCACCAACATTTTTCATTTGACATATGTATATAGGCTACAAGCAGGTCTTTGCAATATCTTGTTATTGATGCTACAATCGAATAACATATATAAATTGAAAAAATAAAAAATAAAAACAAATCAGAACCTAGCTACCATAAGCAATTACAAGTCATGAATCATGATATAGCTGTAGCTCTTTCCACTCCTCCAAATAACTCTGAAGCCAGACATGCCAGCAAAGACTCTCTTTTGTGGGGGCTTGCATAAATAAGATAGCTCATGATTGAATGAAAAGAACCAACAAAGAGTCTTCATGTTTCTGGACTGGAATTTGCTACAAGCGAGAGAGATATGAATTCATGGGGAAGTATGCAACTGGAATTGGAGCAGATGATGATTTTGATTTGCTTTTGGGTTTCTCTGTCTCATTACTGACTTTCTTGTGCAGGCTAACATCATCTGAAATCCTTGAAGAAGCAGATGGAACAAAGCAACTAAAAATGTCTGAGAAATAAACCATTTTCTTGCTTTCTCTTGTTATCTAAAACAGTTTTGATCAAGAATTGAAGTAGGCACTGCAGGCTAACTAGCTATCTTTCTTTAGCTGAAGAATGTGATGAAGTGAGAGTTTCTTGACGATATTGAAGGGAAGCCTATCTATTTATAATGAGCCAATACTTGGAAGTTTCTTTGATAATCTTCTTGTCCAAAGGAAACCCAAGTTTCTTGGTTTGTGGCAGCTCTGGCTGCTGGGCCTGCTTTAAAGAGAACGTACCAAGAAAGGAAAAGGCAGTTTCATGTTTCCTTCTCCAGTCTGCATCAAGTGGACAGCTTAAGAAAAGAAAAGTTCTTAAAACATGACATTTCTACTTTTCCATGCCAGTCAAGCGGGGAAATTTGTCCTGCCTTGGCTTATTACACCGGTTCAGCAAGTACCGGGTCAAATTCACACGGTTTCAATGAAGAAAGCTCAATTTAATTAATTTATTTATTTAAATTAGAACATAGAAACCTTTTATGTAATTGTTTGTTCAACCATCTCAGATTAACTCTTCCACGGGCTATAAAAATTACTTCACGCGGCAGAAAAAGCGTTACGCCTGTAGAAATTATTCCGAGTAAATCAATTATTAGTCCCTCTCCTTTTTCAAAAAATAATGAAAAAAGAAGATATATTTAAAATAATAGTAAATTAACGATGATTAATACTGATCAATAAATAAATTAATTAATCTTTAGTTGTTCGTGACGTTAGTGGTTTTTTTTTTTTTTTTGAATAGGTTCGAATTTGATTAAGATTTCTAGGAGAAAGGAACTAGACCAGAGCGGCACATTAGTTTCTTTCAAAGAGGCCATGGCTCCTCCAAAGTTTTAAAAAATCAGATTAGTCTCTTAATTTTTGGCATGTTTCATCTTACTCCATTAGATTGTTACTACGCCTCCCAAAATATTCAAAATATCTCCTAATACTCCTAAAGTCTGATGATAATTTTAATTTGAACTCCCTCCTCCAACAATTTAGTTCACCCTGGTTACTGAGGAATACTAATGCCAATTTAGTTACAACTCGCAGGCTTGATATTTTTTATTTGAAATAGAGAAAAATGAGGATAAAGTCTTAGTTATCATGCTCAAAGTGGTATTTAAATAAAAATGGATATCAATAAACTTGATTCAATTGAAATTAATATTCTTTTCTTTCCAAAAAATCTCAAATTCGAACCATTTTTTTTTTTATAATAAAAACCAAAATGGATATACCAATACATATGTACATATATCATCCATCAAAATTTTAGTAAGATTGTTTTGGTCAGAATTCACTGTGCCAACCATCGAGTCGTGCCAAACAGTATATACTCATTTATATAAATATTTGATCAATTAACATTAAAAAAAAAAAAGATTCGTTAAGAATTACAAAATCATGTAATTCATTAAATCAGAACATTAATTAAACGTTAATCAAAGAACATTCAAGTTACGACTGAAAAAAAAAATTCATAAACCCAATGCTAAGATTGCAATTTCTCTGCGATTCAAATGCTGTATCATCAGCTCCAGAGAGTCATATATGTAGTTTCTGTAGCTGGAAAATATGTTCAACATTTCCTGCTGGCAAAGTTACTACAAGCGAGATGGATATGAATTAACAGGGAAGTAAGAAACTACAATGAGAGCTCCCGTTGATTTCGATTTCTCTGAATTCGGTGCTTTTACATCCAAGACTTTTTCATAATCATTGGAGATTCGAGAGGAAGAGGAGGGAACAAAGCAGCAGAAAATGGCTGAGAAATGAGGCATTATGGCGCTTATTCTTCTTGATTACGTTCAGAGTGTTTTTTTCGTTATCACTAATGGAAGATGATCAGTTCTAATGAGAGAGTCTTGTCTACTTTAACGGAGATGAGAAATGAATTTTTATGCTTTCCTTGGACAGGAAGGAAAAACCAAGTTTCCGGTGGTATGGCCAGTTTGACCAGAGATTGAGTAATAAATAATATAGAATTCATTTTCTCGTCAAGGTTTGGTGGTCCAAAACCAAATTAAATATATAGCTACTTCATTGGGTAATGCAATTTCAACACTTAAAGAAAAAAGGGTAAAAGGCATTCTCCTTTTTCTGCTAAATTATAGCAAAATTGATTAATGTTACTTTTCTTTATTGATGGGTAAATTTAATATTTTATTTTTTTCACAAGCTGGATTAGTCTCATAGTTGTCCAGCAAACGCGACTTATTTGGGGAATTTGGAAGGATGAAGTTGCCTCAGGTATTTCATGTTGTGGCTGCTTAATTTGTTTTTCTAATTTGTTGACAAAGTCTGAAGTTGGCTTCTCAGACTTCGTCATTTTCTACTTTCCAGTCAAGACAGCAAAAAGCCATTTCCTAGTTGCATCGTATGGAAATCATCAAGTGAATAAGTTCAATGCATTAGGCTACATTATTATTTTTCTCAACTTAATCCTTAACCAAGATGCCAATTTCAATTGAATCTAAAACAATAGATTTATCAATTAGGTCCCAAATTTTTCAAACATTTGTCAATTGGCTCCTTTTGTAAAAGTTTGCTAGTACTTTTTGTCTTATATGAGTACTTTATAGAATAAAATGTTGTCATTTAAAAAAAAAAAATCATAGAAAAATAAGCAAAATTAGATAGAAGTTTCCGATTGAGAAATATCTGAAACATTTTGAACCTAATTAATAATTTTTTTGGGCCTTAATTGATAATTAGGTAGGACATTAGGTGCTAATTTGAGGTTTCCCCTATTTTGATGTTACTGCTAATCTGTGCTCGTGGTTAATTTTTTCTTCTGCTGCAATTCTGCTTCTAAAATTATGCAGTGGCTGAAAGTCTATTGTTCTGTTGGATTATTGTTGTCAGACGTTTTTGCCTCGATATATTTACGCTGGATGGACTAGTTGATGGTGTTGTTGTGTTTTTTATTCTTAAATTTGCTGCTTGAGGTGTTATATGCACAAGATTATGGTTTTTAGATAATTGAAATTGAGTTCTATTTAAAAAATTTAAAGACTTATTGTGAGTAGAATTTTCTCAATTTTATATATTACTCATTTTTTCGTTAACTATTTAATGTGGATTATGTTTTCTAATATTCTTTCTTATTTATAGTTCATCTTTTAAGATCTGTCAAGTGATTTGAATTTTAGGATCTTTATTGAGTTATTAGTTCTTTTTAAACTAGATAGTTAAAATTAATTTTTTTATAAAACATATCTTTTCAACTTTATATATTAATTATTTTTAATTTAATTATTCAATTTAGATTTATGCTCCAACATTGTGCAAGGAAATCCGAGTTGCATAATTTGTGGCTGCTCTTTTTTTATTAATAGCTAAAACACAGATGACCACATGCATGTATGTGTCCAATAATATCTTCCTTGGTTGTCTGGTTTGACCAGCAAGCACATACTCATGACGTTAAAAGCTGTTTCTGTTTACCTTTCAAAGTTCCATTGTCGTTGTTGTTGCTTCCCACAAATCCAGTTTGATCCCTAAATTATAGATTTAGATAATTACACCTTTGCCCTTTCATGTTGCTGATCTGATTTTCATCCAAATTTTATGATTTTGCCTGATTGCTTCTCTATTTAATTGGATGGTAATGTCAACTATATGATTGAAAATGAATATTTGGAAGATTATTGAATGTAAAACGTATGGTTAAGGATGTAATTGAGAGATTTGAAAACTTGAATATTGGATTATATGTGACGGAATTAAAAAGGATCTAAATTCATGTTGTTTCGATGTGTGATGTGTTTTAATGTTCACTTAGATTGGGAACAGTGGATTAGAGATTTTTTTTTTTTTAGTATTAATCTTGTCTTATTTTGGTTTATTTTTATTTTCATTTTTTTATATTTTATCATTATTTTCAATAAAAATGGGTTGTTTGACATATTATATAGTATCTTTATTTTTTATATAATAAGTCCTTAAGGAACTTTCGATCAATGATGAAGCTAGCAATAGGTTAGCAATTTTTTATAAAAAAATTAAAATAAGCCAAATTTGAATTTATAGACCAAGGACCTTGTAAAGCCCTATTGGCTATTTTATTTTTCATGAAGTCGCTCTTATGTAATCTCGTGATTTTTTTTTTTACACATTTTTATTTCTTGTTCCTTGTTTATTTATTTTATGTGATGCTAGTTCATGTCGATCTAGATGGAGTAGGTTTAGGACTCGAGACTCGATTTTGTTCTAATGATGAGCCTTTTCTTATTATTTTATTTTATTTTATTTTTATTGCTATTTTTTATTATTGATTTTAATTTTTTTTTAGAGTACTACTAATTTTTTTCTTCTCACGATTTAGTTCTTAATTTGGCCTTGGACCCAATTTAATATTTTAATGTGACATGGTAGGTGATATAGGCTTGAGGCCTATGTCTTTTTTTTTTAAGTTATTACAAATATGTAATTTTATTTTATTTTATTATGGTTTGGCAAGTGAATTTGAACATGGGCTATGTTCATTTTTTATTTTTTTATTTTTGTGTTTTCGTGGGACTAAGATTTATGTGTCATAACCCTAATTTTTACCTTTCCAAATGGGCTCCAATGTACCAATGACATATTAGATAAGAGATCGAGTCTTTTTTCGGTCTCTAAATCATCTCATTTAGGATCGATTAGAAAAAAAACTAAATAATCAAGCAAGCAAATCAAGATAGAAAAAGGTAATTTGCATGAATGAATTCTTATAAACTAAAAATATAAGGTAACCTCACTTTGAGGGTACATTAAGGTGACTATAGTCTTTCCCGGTTGTGTAATCAACTCTCTTACTTAGAACTTTTAAGATTAAAGCTAGGTTTTTCTTAGTTTTTACCTTTTGAAAATTGAATGGCGACTCCACACATATATATATTTTCTTTTTTTATGATCATCGAGAGGTCACCGTGTGACGGAATGGTGACTCCACCGGGAAAACTAAAGGTTAAAGCCTATGATATTTCTTGTTTTTAGGATTATATTTGTTTTATATGTTCTATATTGATATGCTTGTGTTTTTTACTTCAATATTTGGGCTTGCATATGACTTGTGGCTTTTTTGCACACAATAGCATATATAGAAGAATAATTTTTGAGCCTACACACACTCTAGCCCTTTAAATTAAGATTAAAATGTGAGAGGTGGCACTTAAGAAACTATAGTCTCGAAGCTCACATAACTCATCCGTGGGATGCATGAGACTATAAAGGACAACCTAGTAACCCTCATGCATGAGAATAGAGCTTCAAGTATCTCCTACTATGATTGAACTTGAGCCCATGATGGGAGCCTCCGAAGGAATTAGGTTAGCCAACCTTACCCATTCATGTCTAGATAGATCTAGAACCTATCTCAAGATCACCCTCAAGACATTGGGTATACACTTTTGTTTTCTTTGTGCGATTACTTGATCTAATGAAAGCCATTGTTAATCATGGCAAACGGGATGGTGTCTATAACTCATGAGACTACTATTATGGAAATAACTATTGAGGATTTCCTTATTAATTCCGAAACTCTCCAACATCGTGAAGGGAATTACCTAAACTTAAAGGCCACTTTGCCTCTAAACGTTGAATATTACTAGAAAGACTAATGATGTGTCAAACCTCAAAATTATTTTTGAGAGATTAAACTTAAAGGATCGAAATCCTTTAAAGATCGTTATAAGAGAATGTCGATTTGCTAAAGATGCCAGTTCAAGATGATGTTACCATGATAATGATACATTATTAGACATAAATTATCGATGCTTCATATGTGGTGCAATTAATCCGACCCATACCATGGAGGAATACCAAGCCCCGTTAGAGTTTCCATAATCATTATACTAAAATTACACCCATTATCTAAGTAAAGAAGTGCCTTATTGGTTAGAAGCTCGGTTGGGTTTAAAGGCTACTAAGTTCAAGCTAAATGTTCGAGGCGAGGCTAAAGGATGGTTATGGTCTCAATGGGAGTCAAAATTTGATAAAGAATTGAGCAACAAAGACTCAATCTAAGGCATCTAAGGATCTTAGCATTAGAAATTTTTAACTTAGTCTTATTTTCTACCTACACCAAATTAATTGATTGTGAAGCTACAAATGTCTTTGTACAAATGAAAACTTAAAATGCTAATCCAATAACGTCAATCATTGAAGAAACTTTCCAAAGCTTGAATTATATCCGAAAGAATGGAATAGGAACTATGAAGTGTTATACTCAACTCTTACATATGTGGATAGCCAATCATCTACGATACACGGATCTTGTATTTGCTTCTTACTTGATAAGAAGGAAGAACTACTATTTAAGATTTTTGTCATCATCAATGGATGGATATGAACCTAGTAAAATGGGAGAGCGTTTGTCAAAATTTAAACCCAGATCAAGTGGTTTGGAGAGCTATTTGGATGTCACATATTCGATATCTTATGAAAACTAGAGATTTTTCTTGGGTATTGTTGATTAGAGTTAGAGGTTGTATGAGTTATTTCCTAACTATTACTGCTAAATGGTTGGGTTATATGCAATGTAATCCTTGAATCATCAAATTAATCGAGTATGATTTCTCCTTTAAATGAGATTTTAAGCCTAATTTAGAAATGGCAAAGGCTACTTAGAGAAAGAGAACTTTCATGAAGTAAAAAGAACACGACCATTGATCGAAGATAACGGAGGGATATCTAAGATGCTAGAAAGGAAACTCCTTATACCTTACCAAAGTTATATGGGGCAACAAGGCGAAGTGTAGTTAAAGATAGTTCCTAAGATTTGGAGGAAGAAAATTTGATGGTGCAAGAAATTCTCCATGGAAAGCTTCATCATGAGTCGACCGAGACAATCCAAAAGAAGTAAAATGTAAAGGATGATTATAGGTGTTTGGTCATTATATAAGAAGACATAAGGAATCAAATGGAGCTACTTTGATTAGAGAATCAACAAGTGAAACGAAATTTAGAGGCCGAGAAAATGAAAAGAAAAAAGGTAGAAAAGCAAAATAATGAACTATCCGAGGGGATAGTCCTATTCCATCAAGAAAAAAACCAGCTTTGATAGCTTAGTTAGCAATTGAAAGGAAATGCAACTTAAGCTACATGCACTAGAAGAACATATAGAAAAAAATGTCATTCAAGCACTCAAGAAAGATATCAAGAGCAAAAAAGTTCAAGCCAAGCAAATCAAGAAAACAAAAGCATGTTTGATCAACAAGTTGAAAGAACAAAAAAGCAAAATGGACAAGCTAGAAATAAAAGTCTAAGTATTCAAAGAAAAGAGTGAACAAAGGATGGCCCAACTGATTGAGCAAAACTCTTACCTTAACCAAGCGAGTGTAAGACACTTGGATCAAGTTTATCTATAAGAAGACATGGCTACCTAATTAATTAGAGAAGCTTGCGTCTTGAACGACATGGTGAGGAATGTTGCTAAATGAATAAGAGACTATGATAAACGTGTCATTGGAGTATATCTAGATTGGTGTAGTGATTTACTTTCTAACATTCCTACTAATAGAACATCTAAACCAATTAGTCTTGCTTAATAAACTAGTTGTTTATGGATTTTATACACTTTGTCATTAACTAGTGGAACTTTATTTTAAACATATTAGTGTTATTTATTTGAAGAATAAGAATTGGTTTTCATAAAATGTTCAATCTCATTAAGTTTCAAGTAGAAATTCCTTAAATATATTTTAATGCTAGCAGATACTATTCTACTAGAATATTAGCGCTTAACACAATAAGCAATCTTTGATTAAATGCACGGATCATTAATTAATAATAGCCCACTATAGCCTAAAATTTTAAAGGTAGTCTCAAACATCTTCATTGATTAGGAGCCAACTAATGGCCCAAATGATGAATGAATCATGACACCATCTAGGATATGTGATTCATATTTAAACACTCATGTATATATATATACATTGGTCATGTATATATACCGCTCATATTTTCAAGAGAAATATAGGTTGCATTGCCAAAGCTTAGCCTTTGTAGAAGATCCACAAGTACTAGACTTAGGAGAAGGATAGAGAACGAGAAAATAAATCAATTGGAGCAAAAGTATACCAATGAGCTCGAAGCTTTCAAGGAAGATGTGGCTCGACTAACTAGTTTGTTAGAGCAACTACCGCAATAAAAAAATAACGAGTAAAGGGACTTATAAAGGGACTTGCTCTGCTATGTCGTGGGTTGATGAAGAACCATACTCCATTCCTACATCAAGCCTCAAGGTAACACCACCTAATATGATCGACACCCTATGACCATGCCTACACTTTAAGAGGCCCTTATTCATATTCGTCCACTAAAAAAAGGAGCTATATTCACCAATCAAGAGTCATCATATCATAATATCCCACATCCATTTATGGTACTAAATAAGAGAGCCATCGGACAATCGAATGATGTTACAATGAAAAGGTCAAAAAAAGATAAAGTCTGGGGGATTGATGGGATTAATAAGTTATTATCCATCGAGGTGCACTTAAAAGCTATTGAGGGTATGGACTTATATTACCCGATTAGGGCTACTAAAATATATCCGGTACCAAATGTTGTCATCCCGAAGAAGCTTAAGGTACTAGAATTTACAAAGTATACAAGTACTAAATGCTAAGACTCACCATCGAGTCTACTACAATAAGATGATAGAGGTCGTGCATGATGAGAAACTTTTAATTCACTACTTTCATAAGATTTTGGATGGTACTACTTTTAATTGGTATATGTGTAACTTGACAGAGCTAAAATTTGAAGGTAAAAAGATCTAGTTGATGCTTTCATTCACCAATACAAATTCAACCTAAATGTGGCTCTAAACATAACAATATTGTAGAATTTAAAAAAGATGGTAAAAGAGACTATTAAAGAATACGCTCAAAGATGGCATATACTTAAGTACTGTTGCAGAAAATACAATCTTGTAAACAAGGTAACTAATGAATGCCCTAAACATAGATGGTAAGGGAGCAATCTAAAGTAGAAACTAATACATACAAGGTAAGCTACGGTTCTGCGTATAACCGGTGGGTATTTATATATATAATCGATCGATAACACTAAGCATAATTGTTTGTGAGCCCTTTTGAGCTTTGTACGTAGTAGGGATGAGCTCTTATTTAGTTGCTTTTGATGTAATGACTGAAATAATTTCTTACGGAAAAAAATAATAATAAGTAATAATAATAATATATAGTCCCATAAATGTTGGCCGAACATCTTTTTTCCATCCAAATTCAAGCTTTTATGTTATAAACAAATATACATTTATACAACGCTCAAAAAAGGGTGAAAACAAATTTAGCAATGAAAATTACACTATTAAATACACGTCCATATTCAAGCTATTCTTAATCGCTTGAAATATAACTGTGGATCAGCTCTCTCAAGGAAAGAAGAAAACCAGATTGATGAGAGCTTCGCCTCTCTTGTGAAATTAGATGTAAGGTTTGTGCGCATCAAACCAAACCCTATGGTATATCCATCTGTAAATTCGAAGCTGTCGGCGAAAGACCATGTAAAGTAACCTCTGACTTGAACTCCATAATCACTGTCAAAATTGGTTCAAATGTTAAACGTTTGGTGTAACAATTAATTCAAACCATAATTCGAAGCCAAATTTTATTTTATTGTCCCTTTTTTTACCTCTTAAATATGTGAATTTTTTTTTAAGCATATAGTGGAAAACAAAATCAGATAATTACGCAATTGGTAACTCACTTGATAGATGCTAGAACATTCCTAAGATGGCTACAATGGAATTGTATCCTAGGAAAATCAAGCAGGGCTTCCTCTATGGATAGTTCATCTGTGGCAATGGTTTCACCGTAACCTGATTAGACGAAAAGTATGGAATCAAGAATTAATGAGCTTGTAAAACTTTGAGTAGCTTTCAATTATAATACTCGAAGGTTTTTTTTTTTTTTTTTTTTTTGTTACCATTCTCAGTGATGTAAATTATTGGATTCTTGTATGCATCTTTGAAGTGGTTCAAAAGATATCGTATCCCTTTTGGATAAAGATACTGCCATGGTGCACCAGACTGCAGTTTATGATAAATTATTTCTTAGTTTCCTTTCTTCGAAAAAAGATTTAATTTCAGTTTATCATAAACCATTCTCAAGATACAAACCTTCGGTCCAATGGGGATACCATCTCGTTCCCCTAAAAAAACATTAACAAAAAGAAAAGGATAAAATTTTACTTCCTCAATTGGATATCTTTTTTTAAGCAAAATGTAATCAAAATAAAATAGAAATAGAAATAAAATGTTAGTGCTGCCCTGGCCAGCACTTTTAATACTTCAAGACCATTAAACAAGTTACCTTTTCCATTATAAAAGGAGTAAGTGATAAATTAGTACTTTTAATTTTGAAAAAAAAGAAGAAAAAAGAAATAATTAGTCCTGTCTATTTAAAAAATAATAATTATTTAATCCTTTTTATCTATTTATTTTTTAAAAATAAATAAATAAATTGATATGATGGAAATATAGATGAAAAATATATATTTTTTAAAATAAAAAATATTAAATTAAATATGATCAATATTGATTAAGAAATTAAATAATTAGTATTTTAAAAAAATTAATTTTTTTAATAAAAAATAGAAGGAATAATTTATAATCTACGCACTACAAAAGTGAAGATCTAATCCGACCAACCAGTTTTTGTCACTTTAGCCTTAGAAATTGATTTACTTCCTCCGACCCAAAAAAAAAAAACTCATTTGACCAAAAATATGTCGTCATTTTCAGTTGATCGCCAAAGCGGTATAACCCGGCAATTTTTATCATTTTGGTCCAGGGCTATAATGACATTTTTGTCCCTTAGCAAGACTTAAACAGAAAAATAATCTTTCTTCATGTACTTTATTCGTTCACTCTTATTTTATATTTATTGTCACCTACATATTTTATGAGCTAACCTGTAATATAAGAATTAGAATCTGTTTGATATCGTCGATGTTCTGGGTCAGAAGAATTTGCATTTGCTACATAATATGCAGTATAGTAATTCAATCCAATAAAGTCAAAAGATCCCTTTAGAATCACATAATCCAATAGAGAGAATGTTGGTAATCTATATTGAACCAAATCCCGCATGCTGCTTGGATAATCACCATATATTATAGGATTCATGAACCTACACAAATGAGAATGATGTAAAAATTCAACATACACTTAATTGCGTACAAGTAGTTTAAGGAAATACTAGAAGGCCTAGCTACGTACGTACTAGCTTAAGTTTGGAGAAATACATACCAACCAAGCATGAAATCAAGAGATCTTTTAGCCGCATCGTGATCTTCCGTACTGTTAGAGTAAGGTTCATACCAACGGGCATTGAGTGTTATCCCAATTTTGCCTTTCTGAGATGCCTATATTTTCCATAAACAAAATGATTCCTAAATAGCAGCAACAACAATTAATAATACAAATTAAATCTATGCATTTAGTTCATACCTGGTATTTTTCTCTGTAAACATGTACTGCTGCTGCATGAGAAAGGATCATATGATGGGCAACTATGTAAGGCTCAGTGGCAGAGTTTCCATTTTTACATGTCTTTTCATCGATCCATTTAGAGCATCGACCTGGTGCAAAATGACCTGAATCATAGCCTTCGCTGGTGTATTTATGTGGTTCATTTACAGTTATCCAATGCTTCACTCGGTCACCAAATTCCTGGAAGCAAAGCTCGGCAAAATCTTGAAAATCGTTCCTATAAATTAGAAGAACAAGAAATTCTATGTCAAAATTTCATATCCTAATTTTTGCAAATAAATAAAGCTTGACTACTGTTTGTTAATTATTAAATGAGTTTGATACATGCACGTGATGGTGGAACACAATATGTTATAACAAGGTGATTAATTGATAGCTTACACAATATTATCGCTTAAAAAGCCACCATACTTATCTTCCAGTGCTTGAGGAGTTTCCCAATGAAAGATAGTTGCAAAAGGCTTTAATCCTGTGTATTATACATTATACGAAATGAGAGAGGGTATAGCTTTTTTAGAAAAAAAAATGAAAAAATTGACAAGAAAAAAGAAAGACATTTTATAGAATAAAAATAATATTAAATTAAATATAATCAATACTAGTTAAAGAATTAATTAATAATTTGTGAAACAAGAAAGGCTAATTTATTTATTTCTTGAAACTAGAGGGACTATTTTATTATCTATTCATATTTCTAAGGAGTGGGAGAAGATTAAACCTTTTGCTATGCTTGCATTGATGACCTTGTTGTAAAACTCAATTCGATCTTTGTTCACTCCTTCCTTTATTCTCCCACCTGAACATCAGAAGAAATTTTTTTTTTTTAGTGAACTAAAAGTTAAAAATATGGACAAATAATAAGTGAAGACACATTCACTATTCTTATTTCGTCCGAATACTTACTGGGAATTACTCTGGACCAGGAGATAGAGAATCTGAAAGCATCCATATTCATCTCCCTGATTGTTTCCAGATCACTCTGTCACACAATATGCACTTTCGCATTCATTATAAGAAATATATAAAGGTAGGAATAAAATTGTTAGAGTAAATTAATTGTAGATATATTCATGAAGTTGAGTTCTTAGTCCTGTGTTCCTATAACTTAAAATATAGAACCCAGAACGCCGGGATCTAGTTCCGGCCCAAACCTCGGATGACCCAGACCTAGTCTTGCCTGAATCCCAAGCACCTTGGACTCGGTATCGGCGCGAACCCAAGCACCCCAAACCTAGTCTCGATCAGAATCACGTGCGCCCGTAAACTTTGTTACAGCCCAAACCCCAGAAGACCCAGACCTGGTATCAGTCCGAACCCTAGGAGCTCTAGACTTGATCCATGCTTGAAACTCGAAAGCCCTAAACCCAGGACGTCCTGGACTTGATCCCGATCTGAATCTATCTTGGTTAACCTAACTTGACTCGCACAATATACGCTAGAAGTATATAAAAAAAAAAACACTTGTTTTAAAACTTTGAAGACCACTTATTTTTTCAAAAGCGTCAAACTTCTTGTCAATTTTACTTTTTCACAAAAAAAAAAAAAAATTCATATCTTGCATGAAAACAAAAATAGAAAACGAAAATGATACCTAGTAAATGTCACTTTTTGGAGAAAAAAAATATTTTTAGAAAAACATCCCATTAATATAATTTTTTTATCCTTAATTATTTAGGAAAAAGAAATTAATTTTAGATAATAAATTAATTAAATTAAGTAAAAGATAATTTTTCGTAAGTCATGCTAAAATCAAAATGATACCTCGTAGCGATTGTAGAAATCAATTCCCATGTCTCCGGTGCTGCCATCAGCTATCCTTTCTGAATGTTTTTATTAAAAAAAAAATGATTGAAGCAGCTATACATTAGTCATCCATGCAAAGTGTATATATGCACTTAATTTAAGGAACAAAGGAGAAAAATAGGCATCACGCTATTTGTATTTGTTTTACAATTATAAAATAATTTTAAAATCTAAAAAACTATCTATCTCGATCAGTATTATCAGGATTATGAAAGGGATTCTAAAATGAGAGAGAGAAATCAGGATTATGAAAGAGACTCTAAAATGAGAGAGATATCATATATGCATGCGCACAGAAAATGAGAGAGAGAGAGAGAGAGAGAGATACCTGGGAAGCCTTGAGTAAAAGTGTCCCATATACTCGAACCTCCGCTACTTTTGTTTTTATGACCCTCGATCTTGAAACCCTCACAAAGATTTGCATAATCAGATGATTACTCTTATTATAATATGCGTGTATATATATATATATATATATATATATATATGAAAAGGCATTTTATTAGTATCTGTTGAATTCCTTATTCTCACTTCAGTTATATAGGAATCTATTAGCTAGGGTGAATTGTTTGGTCCCTGTAATGGGCTCTAAAATTTTGCATCGAATTGCAAGTATTTATCAAAAATTTGTTTGGTTTAGTCTCCTTGACAAGTACGTACATGCATCGCGTAGCTCTGAATTATAGCTAGCAGCATTTTTTGTATTGAACAAAGACATGTATAAAATAAAATAAAATAAAAGTGCATGCTACTCATTAGCTAGCTAGGGAACCCTGCTGGAAGCGAAGTAAAGGTTTCATCTAGCTAGCTACCTGGTAAGAGGATGAGGCTGTCCCAAAGATGAAATCTTTTGGAAAAGATTTACGATTGAAAGGCCTTGAAGTTGATGTGCCGACGCAATGAACATCTAACTCCGAAATACTGTTTGGCATCACTAGCTTAGCAGAAGCAGAAGAGCTAATTAGGAAGAAAAATATTCCCATTAAAAGCAAACCAAGATGAATAGCCATTGGAAACGAACAATAGCAAATAGTGAAAGTAAAAAGTTTGTTTTTAATATATATGGAAGATTGGATCTTGTAGAAAAGAGCTATATTTATTAGTCAGTCTCTATGATCATTAATCAAAGAGAACTCGGCAATTATTAAAATAGAGAGGGGGACAAGCATTGGTTGGTGTTGTTTTGGAGTTAATAGAGACCATTTATGTGCGTATATGCATTGGAGTTAATAGAGACCGTTTATGAGTATATATGCATTGAGAGATAGCGAGACAGCGACAGAGAGATTGTGTTTGATTAGGAGCTGCGTCTTGTAGTGACCAAATACCTTCATGGTTAAAAGGATCGGATTCCGCTACTTGTTGTCTTAAAAATGAAGAGGTAAGAGTTAACCTGGTAACCTTGACGACATAGTGTGTCTTGGTAATAATATTTAAAAAGCTTCCTTCAAAACGGTGTACATAAAATTAATAGTTATATTTTAATTCATCAGGACAAAAAAAAAAAAAAACCAAAGTAACATATATATATATATATTAACAACATTAAATAGAAATTTATTATCAAATAGTGTAATAAGCACATTTTTTTTTCAAAAAACATTAAATATGCATAACTATTAAAAAAAAAAAAAGTAAATAGTGAGAATATCATGAGACCGTGATAGTTCAAGTATAATATATATAAACATGAGAAAGTGATAGTTCGTGTGTGTGTGTATATATATATATATATATGAAGAAAAAAACTATTATTATGTACGGATTAATAATTCTCATTTCCTGGCCGAAAACCCAAAGGAATTAAAAAAAAAAAAAAAAAAAGCTTTCTTGTCCAATTATATTTTGTAGTTTATAATTGATGAGTTAAATCAAAGCATTATTACAATTAGGGATGATCATTCGGTTTTTTAGTTAAAAACTCAAAATTTATGGTTCGATATTTCAGCTTAAAAATCACTTTTTTTTATTATTATTATTTTTCTTTTTCTTTTGAATTTTCTCTTAAATCAAGCCGAAAGACCATGACTTAGGCCCTAATTTGCTGTTCTTTTGGAGTAGGAAGCCATGTGCCCATGCTTGGACCTTATTTTGCATGAAATCTTTTTCAAAAAATGCTAATAACTTGACTTGAAGTTTTAGCAAAGGAAATCATAAAACAATGCCACGACCGAGTGTCCGGATGGTCTACTGTTTACCAAAAATTCAGATATAACAGACTTGAATTGAAAGTTATCCAAAAATCAAAAGTCAAAACACCCTAACTTCCAACCATCATACATTATTAAAATATAATCCATAAACGAACATCCATAATTAAAACATAATCCACACAATCCATAGAGAATCATCCATAATTAAAAATTTAAAATACAATTCATTAAGCATCTTTAAACCATAATACAAATACAAACATTAACTTCCAACTTCCAAATCTCAAGCATTCCCTAAAAAACACACCATTAACTCAAATAATCTATCAAAATATTCAAGTTTGAAAATTTAATAAATCAAGCAAATAAAAATTAAAAACTTACCCATGTCATTCAAATAGCAAAAAAACCATTAATCCATCATATACTTATCATAGTTGATTCCATAGAAAGTGTTGCTATATCTGAAAAATAAAAGATAAAACATAAATCAATACTTTAACATTATTAAATATTAAACATCCTAAATAAAAAATGAAAAGGTAGTGTTAATAAAATTACCCGCTTCAATTTTCTCAACATCTTGTAAATCTTCTTCAACATTAATTGGTGTCAATGAATTTCGAAGCCAATTTTGAACACATAAGATGTTGCACAATGTTAGGAGTCGAAGGACTCCTAAAAGAGTCGAGAAATCTTCCTCCAATACTAAATGTAGATTCCGAAGAAACAGTTGATATTAGAATCACCAACACATCACGAGCCATTTGAGATAGAATGAGACATCGAGCATAATTATTTTTCCATCACTTTAAAATATTAAAATCTTTATCCTCTTTTTCAATAGCTTCATCAAGATACTTATCCAACTCCAATTTATTTTCTCCACTTTTAATATCAATCTTGTATATATATATATATATTAATTTCATCATATAAACGACACTCATCGACCCTTTCTCAACCATTTTTTCATTTGCATCTTCTATCCTTCCACCACTTTGTCCGTATCAAGTCTTACCAACCCATAATATAATAATACAGGGCATATATAGATTCCATCACAAGATTTTTCATCATTTCACCATTCAATTCATTGAAAGAAAATTGAACGAATCAAAATTTATGTCGAAGATCAAGAATTGTTGCAATATAAATCAACTTGTTTATTTTCTTAATGTCTCTCCAATACTTATTAAACTTTTATTTCATTCTTTTAGCCATTAAACAATCATCGACATCGAACTTCATTGCCATTTTCTTAAAACTTATTCAATTGCATAAATCTCTTCAAAGAATGCATTAGAAGTGACGTACAAAGAACTCGAAACAACCAAAGTAGGGTCATAAAAAATTTTCAACATGTTCACCGTCTTCCTATAAGCCATCCAATCATTGACATTAGATGATCTAAGTACTTCTTCACCATGATCTACATCAAGTCCATATCTATATAAAGGATCAATTTGCTCATATCTCTTAAAAGCTCTTCAAATTTTTGAGTCGCGTCTAACATCAAATAAGTTGATTTCTACCTAGTTGCAAATTTAGATGTAACAAACTCTTAGAATCAATCTTTTCAATCTCAATGTATTTCTTAAATTCTTGCAACTTAGTCGGAGATTGTCTCACATAAATCACCGTCACTCGAACACGATCAAAAGATTAACATTTTTTAACCTATCAACAATGACAAGATACTATGACCCTCAATTCTTAATAACATCTTTTAAGTGTCTAATTGCCACATCATTCGAACTTGCATTGTCAATAGTAATAGTAAAAACCTTTTCGATCTCTCAATCAATTAAGAACTTCTCAATGGCATTGCCTAAATATATACCCTTATGACTATTTACCCGATAAAAATTCAAGATCTTTTTATGTAACTTCTAATCTTTATAAATGAAATGGGTCGTTAAACACATATAATTGATTCTTTGAATAGATGTTCATGTGTTCATAGTGAGACAAGCTCTTTGAGAATTCATTTTCAAGAATTGCTTTAACATTAGTCTCTCATTTAAATAAAGTTGATTGTAATCTCTTGAAATCGTAAACCATGATGGAATTTTAAATCTAGGTAATGCAATGGACTTAAACTTTTGAAATCCTATACTCTCCATAAATTTAAATGGAAGTTCATCTACAATGATCATGTATGCTAAATCATTTCTAATAGCATTTTGATCAAACTTTCATGTGCTAAAAGTGATTTCTCTTTAAGCATTTGAGTGAAGGTTTAATTGAGTTTGTGAAGTTTCTATACTATAGGGGTGTCTTTTAGATATAGTCATATGATACTTAAATGAGGTAGTGTCATTTTTATAGGATGAGCTAGAAGTATTTTATCACAATAATTGCATCTTCCTTTGATTTCTTTATTTACATCTTCAAACTTGATGAAATGATCCCACATAATTGATGCTCGCCTTCATTGGTTTCGTCTTCATTCTTCTATCATCTTGTGTGTTTGTTTAAGCTACACTTGGTGTAATTTCTTTGGGTTACGACATCTACACAAAGGATAAATCATTATTTTTACTTATGATTATAGTAATCACATGCAAGTGAAAGAGGAAAGTAATCAATAATTTAAATTTGATCTTAAATTCTTTTAAGAAAGGCAACAAGATGAGAATATTTCAAAAATTTTGTATCAAATGATATTGGTAAGAAGGCTTGGAGAGAAACTACATTATCTCCCGCCAATTGTAGCAATGATTTACGTGTAGAAATTTATACAAACAGTTTTTTTTAAGCTATAGCAGTTGTATATGAAATAAGGAAATTAATCATGTCAAGACACCATTCAAGAACTAAAAAAGAGTGAAG